GAACTCCCTCTGGGGGATCTCGCGTGCGCGGAGCTCGGACGACTGCTGCTTCTAGCGTCATGCGTGTCGGTTCACCATCAAGGACAGGAGTACGACCGGGTCGTAGTAGCATTGCTCAAGAAAGCTCTAACGGCTCCACGCGCCGTATGTCTGCGCATCGTGTAAGTGCACGGAGCCCATTGGCTCGCAGTGCAGCAAGTACGGTTCGCCGTGGAACACCCGTACGTGCTGGTGGCACGACACCCATGCGAAGTGGCACGCCGTCCCGCACGACAGGGCGATCCACTTCCACTACGCGAGGCGTTTCACGTCCCACAAATGGTGTTACACCTTCCACTTCTCTTGCTCATCGTGCTTCCACGCCAGGGCGTACGGGTACGCGTTCGACAACCCCATCCCGTTCCTCCGTTCTCAGTCACGTAACCTCGGCAAAGGAGCTTCAAATAGGGGAAACAGTCACGTACAAGGGGTATCGTGCCATTGTCCGCTTTAACGGTCCGACCGCGTTTGGTGCCGGAATTTGGATAGGATTAGAGATGATGGAGGGGAATGAAGGAACGAACGACGGTTCTTCATTTATTGATAAAAAGCAATACTTCACATGTCCGAAGGGTAAAGGGGTATTTGTGCGTGCATCCCAGGTAAAGAAACTATAGGGTTGTTGTTTTTGTTGCCGTCCTTATCGTTGTCTTATTTTTGGTGGGAATTAGGAGAGAGAAACGGAGAAATGGGGGAGGGGGGAAGGGGAAACAACACGTCTTTTTTTTTTTTTGACATGTGTAGTTTTTCTCGTAGATTTCTGGTTTTAGAGTTAGAAGAGAAAGGTGGAGAAACGTATTTTTTTTTTCTTTTGCGTGTGTGTGTGTGTGTGTGTGTGTGTCAGCACAGATTTGCCGCTGTAGGAAGAGAGAGAGAGAGAGAGAGAGAGAGAGGGGGGGAGGCAATGTGATTTTTTGTAAATGCCGTCCACGGTACCTATAACTCAAGATTCTCCATCGTCTTTCTTGCAAATATATACATATACACATGTGCCTGTTAAATGAAGGATGGGCGGATCGGAAAAGAGGCGGAAGAATAAAAACAAACAAACCAACCAAAAAACAACAACAAAAGCAACAAAAAAAAAAAAAAAAAAGGAGATTAGAAGAGGGGGAGGAAGAAAAAGACAAAAACAAAACAAGAAAAAATAAAGGATGGAAGAGAGGAGGAGGAGAAGGGGACAAAATGGAAGGGGAAAGAAAGATTGGGAGTAGCGGGGCGAAGGGGTTGGGTTAGGGAGAGGAGTTGCTTGGTTATTATCATTATTATTGCATTAATCATAAACATTATTCTTGCCAGGCTATTTGTTTTCTGCACAAACCCCGTTACAAACAATCGGCAGCACAACTAACACAACGGAGTCCTTTTTTTTTTTTTTCTACAGAATGCCGGCTACTCACCGCAGGCCTTTTTTTCTTTTTCTTTTTTCCTTCTGTTTGTGTCATTTTCGCATGGCGAGTGGGAAGGAGGGATTTTAGGACCGCAAGATGGATGATGACAGTGACGACGTTGCTATTAATCTCAAGTAGGAGACCCGTTTTTTTTTTCTTTTCTCTTCCTTTTCCGCCGTTATTTTTGTTATTGGCTTTTCTTTTCTCTCACTTTCTCTCTGTCTCTTTCTTTCTTTCTTTCTTTTTTTTTGTATGTGTGTGTGCATTTTCCCTATTACGTTTTATTTTCTTTGCTCGCCCGCATCCATTTTTCTTGTTTTTTTTCCCCCTTCCCCCCTCCAAATAGTTCTTCTTCGTTTTGTTGTATGAAATATTTGCTTGTTTTTGAGTCGTGCCAACGTGGCGACGAAAAAGTGCGTTGCATTTTCTTTTTATTGCTTATTACAGTTACACGTACTTTTTTTCCTGCTGTCGTTTTTTTTCTTCTCGCCTCTGCTTTCTGCAGTCACGCACGAGATGCCTTTAGATGAAGGAGAGGCTCTTTTGAGGGCGGTGCATCAAGTTCGCAAGGCGTGCAGTGATGTGTCTAGTGCAACCGCCGAGTTGGGAACAGCACGTGATGCCATGGCACGCGAAAAATTGCGGAAGTCACGCCTATTAGTTACGCAATGTGAAGAAAGGGCTGGTGGTATCCTTGCCGCTGGCATAGACGCGGAGTTGTCGGCTTTGCGTGGACAATACAACGCGGTTAGAGCAGATTTTGATCGAGTCAACAGGGAGGCAATTCGAAGGGAGAAACAGACGTGGCGCCCTCTTTTTCAGAATGATGCCGTGGAGGGAGACGGGCGTGGTGATGTGAGCGTATCTCCTGCGGCCCAAAATTCTGGGCGTGTGCAAGAGATTCGAGCAATTGACATGTCAGGTCTTTATACGGAGGAGGCCCTCCAACGGGAAAAACTTCTTGGCGTGAGAGAAATTGAGAGCAACATGATGGACCTTCGGAGCATGTATCAGGAATTTCACGATCTTGTGCATCATCAGCAAAGCAATCTGGACAGTATGACGGGAAATGTTTCGGTTGCAAAGTCATCTGTGGAGGGTGGAGCGAGGGAGCTTTCACAAGCCTCCAGACGGCAGAAGTGTGGCCGAAAGTTGTTGTGTACTGTCGCTATTATTTTGTTTATTGTCATTATTGGGGTGGTTGTTGTGGTGCTTGTTGCGAAGAGATGAGTTTTTTTTTCTTCTTTGATTTATGGGAGATGGAGAAGTGGGAGGCGAGTGAGAAGTCTGTCCGCCGCCAATAGTGCCCTCAAGTTTCACGAAGAATGAGGGAGAGGAAGAAAATCCAACCAAAAAAAGAGCATCACAAACAATCACATGTCCCTCAAAAGGAATTAAACGAAAACGAGGAAGAAGAAGAAAATAATTAGTTTCCTCTTATCGCCCGGTGCTTTTCTGAACGTTCCTTTAGGCTTACCGAGCCCAGTTGTGCTGTCCTTTTATTATTATTATTTTAGGTGCTCAGTTTTTCCTTTGTTAGTTCCCTGCTTACGTTATTTGTGTTTGTTCCTTTGCTTGTTGTTGTTTTTCTCACCGGCCATGGCGGAGTGAAGGTAGGTGGCGGGGGGTTAAGAAGAGGAGGAGGGCTGCTGCATGCAACGAAGAATTCTGATCTGCTTGAGGGGGTGAGTGTTTTTGGCCCTTCGCGTTGATTTACTGTGCTTGAGCATTCTTTTTTTTTTTTATGTGTGTGTTTGTGCGTGTTGACTGGTTGATTTTTCCGCGTTTCTTTCTTTTTTTTTTGTTGCTCTCTTCTGCGTCGAGAGTTCCGTATTCTTGCCGTCACTTTGCCCCCCTCTTGCAGAATGGACCCTTTTGAAGGAAGCCAGCCACAGCCGCCGCAGAGCAACGGGGAGAATGCTGTTTTGGGCAATGAGCAGCATTCGCCCCATCAGCCACAACACGATGTCAATTCATTTTTTGAGGCTTCGTCAGGAACAACAATGGCAACAACAACAACAACGGGAGGTGCAGCCGCTGCTAGCGCACCGGGCTTGGCACAGCCGGCCTATTTTCCGCCTGCAGATCTGCGTGTTGTTAACAGTGACGATTTTGGGTCTGATGGAAAGGAATCTGGGGTGCCTTCCTTTGGACCAAAGAAGAACGGACATGCTGTGACAGAGGCCGTTCAGAAGGAAATCGAGAGGAGAACAGCAAATATAGATGCGGAATCTAAAAAAAAGGAGGCACAGTTGAAGGCTGCCGCAGAGTCCTACATGAAGGGAATAATTGCCCAACACGAGGAGAGGCTCAAGGAGAAGAAGGCAGAACAGATGCGACTGCAGAAAGCGAATGAAGCAAAACGCAATGAATATATAAAAAGTGGTGCTGTTTGGAGTGGCGTAGAATTAATGACAGATCTCAACACGGCAAATAATTACTCTAAGAGCACGGATCGAATGCGAAATATTCTGAAGAAACTGTGTGGCGCCAAAGAGGGCGAAACCGCTCAATAATAGCGAAAATAGTTAAAAAGACGAAAAAAAAAAAAAGTTATTGTGAAAGGCAAAAGGGTGCATATCTAGAGAAGAAAAGGAAGGACAAAAGGAGAACAAACATTTTATGTGACGTAAAGAAGAAAAGCAGTTGGACTCAAAGGGGCCATTGTGTGTTGTCAAATATCAGCCTTTTCTTGCACATCTTTATATCCCTGTATCTTTCTGGTGCTTTAATTACTTTACTTTCTATTCCTAGCACCATCACTACCATTGCTACTACTACTACCACTACTAAAAATACCGTTTTTTTTTGTTGTTCTTTTTTCTTGCTGTACTTGTTTGTTCTCTACGTTTTACAATTATTTTCTTTTCGTTTCTTGAAGTTTTAATTTTCTCTGACTGGGAATGCGCGGAGGCCGTGGTGGTGGACGCGGTGGTGGACGTGGCGGTGGTGGACGTGGCGGTGGTGGACGTGGCGGTGGTGGACGTGGCGGTGGTGGACGCGGTGGCGGTGGTCGTGGCGGTGGTGGACGTGGCGGTGGACGTGGGGGGAGTTCGGCGGTTCGGGGTAACGTTTTTCAGCCTCACGCTCGCATGCGTGGTTGCTACCTGCTTGCCGGCAAAGATACCCTGGCGACAAAGTCCCTAGTGCCTGGTGTTTCCATCTACGGGGAAAAGCGCGTCAGTGGCACCATTGCGGGGGAGACGGAGTCCACTGAGTTCCGTGTGTGGAATCCGTACCGCTCCAAGTTGGCAGCTGCCATTTATTCGGGTGTTGCTCAGATTTACATGGAGCCGGGATCCTCTGTGCTTTACCTTGGAGCTGCCAGCGGAACCACCGTTAGTCATGTTTCGGACCTGGTAGGACCAGAGGGTGTTGTCTACGCGGTGGAATTTTCCCATCGCAGTGGCCGTGACTTGGAGGAGATGACGAAGCGCCGAAACAACATTGTGCCCATCCTGGAAGATGCTCGCTATCCACAGAAGTATCGCATGTTGATCCCACGATTGGTGGATTGCATCTTTATGGATGTTGCCCAGCCGGATCAGGCACGTATCTTGGCGCTGAACGCGCAACATTTTCTGAAGGAAAATGGCGGGTTTGTCATATCTATCAAAGCCAACTGCATTGATTCCACTGCGGATCCCGCCACAGTATTTGCCTCTGAAGTGCAGAAACTAAAGGACTCCGGTCTGAGGCCCAAGGAACAGGCCTCACTGGAGCCCTTTGAACGTGATCATGCCGTTGTTGCAGGGTACTACAAGTGTCCACCGAAGTAAACCACAATCTTGGGCTTCGCTGTCGCACGCGTGCATTGGTTCAGAGAGAACGAGAGAGACGACACTGTGAGATTCGTCTAAATGCGAGATGAAGCCATGGTGAGGGCTGAATTGAGCTAAAAATTGATAATTAGACATGAGAAAAAAGAGAAGGACAAGAAGAAAAAAATGAAGAATTACAACGGCAACGTCGGCTAAATGAAAAAAAAAAAAAAAAAAAAAGTGCGGGAAAGAAAAAATAAATATATATTAATGAATTGCTGTCGCTTGTCTTTTCTTATTTTTTTATTTTTTCTTTGGTGTCTCCTTTTTTCTTGTTTTTGTTGTTCATTATTATTAATATTTGTTGTGGGTTTCTTTTTTTATGGTTTTCTTTACTCACCGATTCCCTTTTTTTTTTTTTTTTGTACCTCATTTTCCTTTTTTTCTTTTCTTTTTTTTAAAGTTATTTTCTCCTTGTGGAGCTACGAGGCATAACTCAGAGGTGCGGATAGATGATACCGCGGGCGGCACAAATACGCCAGCAGCAGGCGAATGAAAGGCGCGCCAGGCTTGAGGAAAGCGCAGCCCGTGCGTCTCGAGAGGACATGTTTGCACGACACAATGTTATGCGGGGCGTGCGAATTGCGGGCTCACGTTTTGCAAACACCAACCGACACACACGCCGAGACCCAAACCGAGGCATTATTACACAAACCGAGTGGAACGAGTTGGTAGAACAGCATGAAGATTCGGGTTTTAGGTTTAGAACTTTCTTTTTTGGACTTCTCATATTTGCCGTTGCTGTACTGGCACTCGCGAAGTACGACATGGAGTTTAATGTGGAGCCCCCTCAAATTGAAAGCGGGAGGGGGTTTGGGGAAATTACATCTGAAAAAGGCACGGGCATTAATATTGAGGAGTTGGAGAAGTACTATGAAACGCTCGGTGTGAAGGGTCGACTTCGTCCCGGTGAAGCACAAGCGGGGGTTGAAAAAGGGGAAGAAGATGCGGATAAGGAGCGCCGACGAGAAAATTACCGGGTCCGCAAAGAAATTCGTCAAGCGTATAAGGAGCATCAACAACAGCGAGGGCAACTTGTGCATTGTGGCCGATCTTGTGAGGCCAAAAGCAAACAGGTGGAGTTGGCTTATAATCGCCTGGCTTCTCAAGTGGACCGTGAACTTTACGGGGTTTTGCTGGACGCGAAGGACACAAAGTCAAAACGGTCTTTAGACGCCGCAGATTTAAAGCAGGCTTATGAAGCAAAGAAGAAGGAAGTGGAGGAGAATGAAAAGGAAGAAGAAGATCGAGAGATGGCGCTGGAGGAACTGAAGGATGCGTATGATATTCTTGTGAATCCAGAGGCCAGGAACTATTATCTTCTGTATGGTATGAAGCCGCCGGAGCATATGCGTCACATGAGTGCTAGAAGTGGTGGTTGGGGGCAGGAAATTTCACTGGGCGTGTACAAGAACCGTGTTATACTGGCTTGGCTGGATTTTCTTCATGACTACATTGGGCTTTGGGGGGAAACGATGGTTATACTTGCTGCTTTGGCATTCGTGCTTTCACGTGTTCCAACGGCTTTGAGACAGTCCCAACGTCTGCTGGATGATATGGATTGGGAGGCTTCTGTGGCCGAAATAGAACGAAGTGGACGTAAAAGGGACGAAACGACGGAATAGAATTGATGAAGTGAAAAATCACCAGTTTTTTTTTTGTTGTTTGCTTTCACTGTTTCTTTGTGTGTGTATGTGTGTTTCTGTGCGTGCATGTACGTTTTAACTTTTCCTTCTTGTTGTTACTGGTATGGCCTTTTGCACCACCACTTGTTGCCGCAGGAATGTATGTCTTATAATTTATTTATTTACTTTTTTGTTGCACCACAAGTGATGCGGCTGGCGGTGTAAACGGCACCGAATTTAAATTAAGAGGAAGAGGGGAAGACGCAAAAAAAAAAAAAAAAAAGAAGTATGCTGTGAAAGGGGGTGGGAGGTGAGTGTCGAAAGGACTGGGGTTGCCGTGTCTTGTGAGTGATTTGATGCGCTGGAATATCTTTATTTTTTTTCCCCCTTCTTTTCTTTTTCTTGTTGTTGTTGTTGCGGGGGATAGTTTCAATTAAGGCCATAATATCAAATGCAGATGCAGCAGGACTATTATGCCCTTCTGGGAGTGCCGAGGACGGCGTCTAAGGACGGTATTCGGGAAGCGTACAAGTTGAGGGCGCTGGAGCTTCACCCAGATAAGAACCCCGAGGGGGAGGCCGTGTTTAAATTGGTGCTGAATGCATATCAAGTACTTGGATCTCCCACAAAGCGGAGGAAGTACGATCAAGAAATGGCCTTGCGTGATGGTAGGAGACCAGTAGCACATGCAACCGGGCGCAACGGACCAAAACCGACGCAGGGAAATAATAAAAGCCCGAGGGTTCCAAATCCCGCACCCGCACCATCGCCTGCCAGCGGTACCTCTAGAAAGCCTGTGGATGAAAAGTTGTTTGAGGATCTTTACAAGCAATACCAAAAGGGAACGTACGGAGGCACTGCTCCTTTCGGAAGGGAAAACCGAGATGGTTTTCGTGGTGCGGGTGCCAACCAGCAGAGTTTTGCAGAGTGGTTCAAAAGAAAACAAGAAGAACTTAGACAAGCAGAAGAGGTGTTCAAGGCAAAGCTAGATTACGCGAAGAAGCTAGAATTCGAGGAGAAGCGGCGGGCGGAGGAATGGCGCATACTGCAGGAGCGTCGGGAAAGAGAGCGAGAAGAAGAAATCGAACGTGCACGCGCTCAGCGGGAGTGGGAGGGAGAGTTACTTCGTCATGAAAAGGAAATGGCTTCAAAAATTCGTAAGGCGGAAGAGGAAAAACAGAAAATGGCCGCATACTCCGAAGTTCAGAAAAGGCAACAAGAAGATCTTGATGCCCATCTCAGAGAGCTCGCGATGATGAAAAAGGAGCTTGAGGATGAGCGTCGTCGCTTGGCTACAGAGAGGGAATTGGCTCGTCAAGAATCAACGGATCAGCAACGCGCGCGTCTTGAACGTCAACGGCAGCGCGAGAAGGAGTTGGCATTAGAGCTTCAACGAGCGGAAGAAAAGATAGAAGTGGCTCTCGCCAACCAAGCTGACTATGAGGCGTATGAAAAGGAACGCGAGGAGCGGAGGTTACGGGAGGAGGATGCCAGAAGGCTTGAGGAAGAGCGCCGACGTCAGACAAATCTTCACGAAGAGGAGACGCGGCGTCAGTTTGACGCGGAGCAAGAGGAAGCCCGTCGCAAGGCTTCAGAGGAGCTTGGCGGAAAAAGAAGGGCCATATTGGAGCAATTTGTGAAGGAACGCCAGCGACATCAAGATGACGTTGAGGCAATGCGACGCGAAACGGACCGTATTGAAGCCGAAATGCAAGCGAAGCTTGATGCCTTGAGGGAGGCGAAAAGGTCTGGACAACCGATCAACCTGGACGAGTGGAAGTTGTAAATGTGCCTTCCACCTTGCTGGACACAGTAGAAAATGCGATGCTTTAACCAAGTAAATAATAGAGCCAGTTTTTTATGCTTATTCTTATGTATTAACTGCTTTTTTTTTTTTTGCTAAGGTTTTACCTTGTATCATGTCATGGTACAAGTATGGTTGGCGCAGAGCTAATATACGTTCACACGTGTATGGGTTATGCTTTTGGGAATGGAAACACTCCTGGTTGGTCTTATTTTTATTTTTATTTTGGCTCATATTCTTGGATTTTGCTATTTTCTGTTATATATGCATATATATGTGTATTTATTGTGAGGTAGCAAGCTCCTTTTTTTTCTTTTTAAAGGAGGAATGTACGGTGGCTACGGGGTTTGTGGGGGCGGAATGCCTTCCATGTATGGGAATTATGGGGGAGGAATCTCTCCCATGTATGGGAATTATGGGGGAGGAATGTCTTCTATGTATGGGAATTATGGGGGAGGAATGTCTTCTATGTATGGGAATTATGGGGGAGGAATGTCTTCTATGTATGGTGGTGGTATGGGTACAATGGGGGGGTTAACAGGCGGCATGTCGGGCGGCATGATTAACGGAGGGATGCCAGGGGGAATGAATGGCCTTTCAACATTACCCGGTGGTCAGGGCGCGAATGGTATACTGCCACTTCAATCGGATCAACCTCAGGTCGCCGTATCTAGTAGGCCCGCCATTGAAGAGTCTTCTCAAGATCGCCGGGCACGTCGACGGAAGGAACGGAAAGAAGAAAAGGATGCTATTGAAAAGCATCGTCAGCAAAGGAGACAATTTGCCATTCATTCGGCCATTGAGATTGCTGGTCACGTGTTGCAGACCCTAATTCAACTGATGCGTTCAGGTCTTGAGCTCTTTGGTGTCGGACTCGGGACTTACTACAGCGTTAAGGTTCTGAAATCCCTTGTTAAAAGTCAAGAGGATAATGTTTCACGCAAAGTGACACAGGTGACGGTCGCAAGAGCCAAGAAGGAGGTGGCGAGCCGGGGATTAGTTCCTGGGACACACAGATGGAAAGGCTGGCTTATGATATCCGCATTTTTTTTATTAATGGAAACGCTATACGGTCTGCAAAGGCGCTACCGCGATGCGAATGAACGGCGAGCAACTCATCGTCAGAAACGTGGAATGCATACCACCAGTGATGAAGAAGGCTTAGAGAACAGAATTTCGCAGAGTGGGGAGTTAAGTAGTGACGATGTGTCTTCCGAATTTTCCACGGATTACACGGCATCTTTTTTGGATTGTATGGGCGATAAGAGCGGTAAGGGCGGGCGTCTTTTTGTTGCTGTTTTTGACTACGAGTCACCGGATCGGGAAGGCTTTATTGGATTTAAGGCAGGGGACCGTTTTTTAATTGAAGAATATGCAGAGAATGGATGGTGTGAAGCAATTCATATGGACACAGCTGAACGGCCAGTACAAAAAGGGCTTGTCCCTGGCAACTTCTTGCGCCCACTGGAGGGAGAAACAAAGCTGTAAAAGATTATCGCACACTTTTGTTGTTGTTGTTGTCTCTATGCACAAAGAGTCTTCATAGTTGGCGCGTCACGCGAATACATATTGAGTATTATTCATAAAAAGACGACAGAATTGAGTGGCAAATTATTTCTACCCGAGTGCAAGTGGATATAAGTCATTTAAGGGCCGTAGGGGAATCAATCTTTTTTATTATTATTATTATTATTGTTCATACATAATCTTTTCCTTAATTTTTCTATGGATATAAATTTGGCTATTTTTTCCACTAGATTCCTCTCTGGCGTGATTGTTTCTGACTCCACATGCTTTTTTGTTTCTGTTGTCACTGTGGCATGACCAATTTTTTCGTAGCCGCTTGTTGAGGAGATACCTGACAGCAATGGCTGACGCCCAACGCGCACCCTCTGGTGAACAGCGCGGCTTTGGCCGTGGTCGTGGAGGTCGCGGCGGTCGTGGAGGCCGTGGAGGCCGCGGAGGCAGCAACGAGAAGGAGGAGTGGGTCCCTTGCACGAAGCTCGGACGTCTTGTGAAGGAGCAGAAGATCACTTCTCTGGAGGAGATCTTCCTCTTCTCGATGCCCATCAAGGAGCACCAGATTGTGGACCAGCTCATCAAGGAGAGTGACATGCGTGACGAGCTGATGCTGATTGTTCCTGTGCAGAAGGCGACGTCGGCCGGCCAGCGCACGCGCTTCAAGGCATTCAACATTGTTGGCGACGGCAACGGCCACATCGGCGTGGGCGCCCGCGTCGGCAAAGAGGTGTCCCTTGCCATCCGCGCCTCCATGATTGCTGCCAAGCTGAACGTTGTTCCCATCCGCCGCGGCTACTGGGGTAACAAGATTGGCGAGCCACACACGATCCCGATGAAGGTGACTGGCAAGTGCGGCTCCGTGTCCGTCCGTCTGATCCCCGCGCCGCGTGGTGCTGGCATCGTCGCGGCACCCGTCCCGAAGAAGATTCTTGAGTTTGCTGGCGTTGAGGACGTGTACACGAGCTCCTGCGGCAACACCCGCACGCGTGGCAACTTCATCATGGCGACCTTCTATGCACTGCGCAAGACTTACGGCTTCCTGACGCCAGACCTTTGGGCAGAGACGGAGGTCTCGCGTGACCCCACGGATGAGCACTCCGACTTCCTTACAATGGGAAGCAAGATGATCGCCGCATGACTGGGTATCTCCTGGTACAACATTTGGGTTGCGGTTTTTTTTTTGTTTTTTACAGCGCTGTCTGCGTGCTCTGTTTGTGTGTGTTGGTGGATTTTACGGGCATTTTTGTGTCTGTTGGTTTCTTCGTGAATGAGATGGTTTGTGTTGTTTATTTGTCATGAGGGACGCCCCTTTTTTTTTTTTTTGTGTGTGTTTCTTTTGTGTATCGTGTTGGAAAATTTTAAATTTTAATGCGGATGATCGTATAGAAAAGTTTACGAGCGTAAATGAACTTCAAGAACAGGGTGAGTGAGACGAAAGGCGAAGTGAAGGGACCTAGCCGTCAGCGCCCACTCAAAGAGAATAAGCGTAAGTTTGCAGCTGGTGATGCCATAAAGAAGGCGTCTGTAGGGCGCAGGGCGGATGAGACACACCCGAAACGTGTTCAGGCTGCGAATGGCCCTTCCCAACAGCAGAAAGTGCAGGTGGCTACTACCACCAGTTGGGTCAAGGGAGGTAGTTCACTTTCCTTTGCCGATGTTGTACGAAGGAAGACAGAAAATGTGGTTATGAATATCCAACCGGAAGAGTCAAATGAGGACATTGCAGAAGTCGTTCATGTGGAAAATGATGCTGTAGATCTGATGCATGATATTCAAGAGGACTCTATTAACGTTCACAACATGAACAATGAGAGCGAAGATATTGCTTATCCCACAATGCAGCAGGACACTGCTATTGTTCAAGCCGTCATCCCACCACTTCCGGAGGAAGAATTGATGGAGGTGCCTTCTATCAAGTATTACGTGCTTGAAATTGACAGAATTGTGGAGGAGTCTGTGAATTTACCTCCTCGTACTATGGCAACCGCTGCGGATTACATGGGAGTCTATACGTTTTCTGGGCAAGCGGGTAAGCCCCCAACACCTCCCACGGCAACGCAACTTCAACAGCAGTTTTATCGTCCGGAGACGACAACTGCTAGGCCCTTTGGTGGAATGAGTGGAACCTCTGAAATAAGTCGAGGCCAACATTGGGGCTCACAGCAAGGTCACACAGTGGATTACACAAACGCAAATTGGTCGCTGCAGGAGCGTGGTCAAAGAATGTTCCACCAGGGGATGCAGTACAGCTCGTACGCACCACCACCACCCGTGCAGCAGCAGCAGCCACAGAGGAACTTCATGCCACAGACTGTCAACCGTATGCTACAAAGTGATTCTGCAGACGCCCCACTGCGCCATCTCCGTGAGTCTGGAACATTCAATCGTCATCCAGGTAATGGCGGAGGTGTGTGGTGATTGGCTTTTTCCTGCTTTCGGGGAATGGGTTCTCTTAAGGACAAAAAAAAATAAATAGAGAAAAATGGGAAAAAAAAATAGGAAAAAAGAAAAAAATACAATCAGCAACGAAAAATAGGAAGTGTCGTATTTAACTTCACCATGCTGTGTAACTCTTTTTAACTATCTAAGAACGAGGATGTCATGCTGCTTGACTCGCACTGAACATTTTAAACTTTCGCGCCCTTCTTCCCGAGAGAGGAGCAAGGAAAATGAGAATGATAGAGTTCTTTCACTGGGGGAGGATATGGTGAGGGAAAATAGTCTCTTGGACTGTGAATATAAGGACTGTGACAATGTCCTCTTTTTTTTTTTTTCTTCTTTATTTTAATTTTTTCCCCTCTTTTTGTCGTGTCGTGGATTTTTTCTCTGTCATCGATGCGCTTGTCGATGAGGAATCTCTAGTAGTAGTGGTAGTGGCGGTGGTTAGGGTGATTGATGGCAGAATATTTGCCGAGCAGCGATGGCTTGATGCGCTCCACGCTGCGAGAAACCATCAAACGTATCCGCCGCATACGGAGTAGGGCCGGTCGCGAAGATGAGAAGGAGGAGGAGTCTACGGGCGATCCGCTGCGTGACTTGTCGCTGGCGTTCATCCGCTGTGTCACCCGAACGAAAGAGGCCATCAAAAGCCGCAACGAAGGTTTGAAGCAGCACGGCCAGGATCGCATTGCCATTGAGGAGTCTTATGCTATTCGTAAAGACATACGCACTATGGAGACGCTCGTTGAGGAGATTAAAAAATTTGTGGACGCCACTGAAACCGCTCTTGCACAAGAAAACAAAAAGACAAAGCCAAACAGGAGAAAAGTAACACTTTTGGAAAAACAACTCAATGAGCGGAGGGCTCAATATAATGAATGCCTCTCCACACTTGAACTGGTGCGGGATTTGGACCAACGGCGGTCTTCAGTGGACGAAAAAGGCTTGGATATTGGTGAAGAAATGCAGTTTGGACGCAAGGCACAACTACGCCAACAACTTTTGATGCTGCGACGAACGCAAACGGGCGAAGGTGGTCATGTAGATCCTAACGAGGGCATTGAATTGCATGATAATACCGTGGGTGGCGGGCGCTTAGAGGAGCATGAAGACACAAAGGAGACGATGAAGGTAATTGCGGCAAAGGATGCCAAGATAGATGAGGGGTTGGATCGACTGAAGGCAGGGGTGGGGAGATTGCACAACTTGGCGATTGAGATTGGTGCACAGATTGACATGCAGAATCGAATGTTGGATAAGACAGAACAGCATATGAGTACTCAAGTGGAGCGGTTGCGTAATGTTAACCGCCGTATTGGTAAGTTTATGAGGGAGAAAAAACCGCTGAACACCTTTATGAATGTATGTTGTTGTGTGCTCATCATTTCCCTTGTGGGGTTCTTCCTTGTCCAGTTTAACGTTGTCTAGCGGCGGCTCTGCCTCCGCTTGCTTCCTTTCCTTTTCAGTGAAAGCCAACGAAAAAGAAGTTTGGTAGCACCGTGTGGTGCACGATTGGTTGTGTGGCCAGTGTAACACCTCTTTTTTGTTGCTTTTTTCCCTGTCTTGTGATCGCGTTAGTTCCAGTAATGTGCCGTTAACTTCTGTTTTGTTTTTGATGCTGTTGCCAGCGTTGGGTGTGCTGGGCTGCAGCGGTGGTGTCATTTGATGTTGCTGTAAATCTTTTATTTATATTTTTTTCCTGGTTGCTTTTGCTTTTTAAACCCTCCATTCCCCGTCAATTGGCACATGGATGAATACCTTGCGGAGAACGCCCACGCACTCAAAAGAGGGAGAGAGAGAAGGAAAGAGAACAGGCACGCGAGGGAAATAAGCGATGGTGAGGGCAAGGAAACGTCAGCGAGGGGAATGCGATGAAAAGGAGAAGGAGACCAACAAATTCCCATCGACAGGGGGCGAGGGGGGAGAGTCCATGATAGGGGAGATGCAACTGAAACGCGCGACTACGGACAAGCGAATGACAAATCGACAGAAGTGTCTGGTTCTTGGTTCACGCAGCATTTCCAGTAAAGATCGTCATTTGCTGACGGACATTCGTGGCCTGATGCCACACTCGCGGGAACATCCCAAAATTGGTCGAACTCATAAACTTGGGGATGATTTGGTGGAGCTTTGCTCGCTTCATCAATGCAATAGTTCTCTTTTAATTGAGGCTCACCGGCATGACATTAGTTACATGTGGATTGCCCAGGCCCCTCACGGCCCCAGTGTGAAGCTGCAATTAACGAATGTGCACACTGCGGATGAGCTTCGGATGGCGGGAAACTGTTTGAAGTACAGTCGTCCTCTTCTTCACTTTGACCGGGAGTTCGAAACACATCCTCACCTTCGTGTGGTGAGGTCCCTCCTTCAGATGGCATTTAACACGCCCCGCTACCATCCAAAGTCTAAGCCATTTATCGATCACATCATTTGTTTCTTTTATCTGGATCACCATATATGGTTTCGTCACTACCAAATCACCGATGGTGAGCCACGGGCTCTGATGGAGATAGGGCCCCGCTTCACACTTGAACCAGCAGCCATCCTCAACGGTTGCTGCAAAGGCACTGTTGTTTGGAAGAGCGATATGGCAAAGTCTCCAACGGAGCAGCGTCGGGATAGGAAGACACGTCGTCTTGAGAAGACGCAAATCAACGAGGGCATCAAAACAAAGTCCGAGATGCATAAGGCGCTGAATCCACCACCAGAACAAAACCCATTGGATCTTGTCTTTAAGGAGTTTTGATCCCTTGAATCCGCTGGCGCTTCATTCCCTAACCCGTCCTGGCAATAACGTTTGGCTAGAAGAAGAACAACAGCAATGAAAGAAGTGAAAGGTATACGCACTAATAATGGTAATAATACCAGTAATGCTGGATGGGGAAGGAATTTTTTGCCCTGCTCCAGGGGCGTTTTTGTGCGAAAGGGAAAAATATATATAGAGAGAGAGGGGAAGAAAAAAGATATGGTGGAAGCGGTAGTAGTGGTTCTTCTTGTGATCACTCGTTTAAAACACATGGGCAGTTTCCTTGTCCTCTAATTCGTCTGTGTGCATGTGTTGGCACGCAATTTGGTGACAACTCGGGCGCACTCCTTATCCTTCTCTATTTTGCTTGTTTCTTTCCCGACGCTTTATACATGCATACATTTTCCTTTTTTTTTGTATTGCCTCTTCCAAATAACAAGTGCGCGCCGGGATGCGAAGGACAGAAGCGAGCCATTTAAACAATTTCCAGAAAAAAAAAGGAAAGAAGGATAAGGATGTAGTCATGGGACATTTTTTTCTGCACTTTTTTTTTGCCGCCTCCGAGGGTCTTCGACTGTCTGAAGTAGCGGGGGCGGCTCAACAGGAAAGGCCGACACGACAGTTGGAATAAATTCATGGGCCGCTTTTTGGCTCACCCGTGAACGAAGCAATTATGCACCGAGTTACGTGGCTATGACGGGAAGGGCGCGTCCACAAACACTCGGGAAGCGGATACGAAACGGGAGACGCGAGCCAAAAAAAATAAATAATAATAACGATTTTTGCTTTTGATTACGCCGCAAAGCGGTGTTTTCCCTTTTTTTTTTCCCATTGGCTCTGTGTCACTTTCTTCTTTTGTTATTGCGTTTGTTTTAATTTGAGCTTTTTGGGGTCTTCAAAAAATTTTTGCGTATCTTTTTTTTTTTTTTTTTTTCCCATTGGCTCTGTGTGGGAGAGGGTTGCTCTTTTCCTACAAGGAATGGATGACAATGTTGCCAGTGAAACGCGTAACTTGAGCGGTTTTAATTGAAGAGGCAGTGATTATATGCTGTTGACATGAAGTGGGTGCTGCCTTGCCCGGGATGTCTTTGATATGGGGATGGAGTGAAATAAATTGCACGCATTGCCACCGCATTAGCGTGGGGTGTAATCTGCATTTCCATAAGTGTTACTATTAGTGGTATTAGTGGTTGATTACTCTATTTTTTTTTTTTCTTTTTGGATTTGACGCATTCCTAGCGCGTGCCAGATGGAGGAGCCGCTGCCGAAGAGAAATGGATCGGCAGAGGGGAAGCCATTTTTAGAGGCGACATTAAGATCGTCGAAGACAATTTCTTTTCACCCAAGTGCCTCCCATCCGGTCGCACAGGGGTCACATTCCAAAAACTATTCATACTTGAGCGAAAGTGCGTGGGAGTCCCGTGAGAGTAGCTCGGGGTATTATCACGAAAAACAGACAGATGCCGACGAGGGTATACGCCATGGCTTCTATCAGAGACTCTACCGGTTTTATGAGAAGTATAACCCCCAAAAATTGGACAGAATTGAGGAGTACCTCACCGCCTATAAAGGGGAGGAGGAGCAGCTTTTTGCGATACTGAAGGGGAAGTATGGCCCAGAACCCCCAGATACCGCATCCCAGCCAATGAATTCAGCATGCTCTAGTGAGAATGCCTCCATCATGCACTACGTGGGTAAACGTTACAGTTTTCCCACAGTTGTTTCTCCACAAGAGGGCAATACAGACTGTGAGACGCCCTACTGGGGAAACTTTAACCTGATTGGTGAGCGCGATGTGCTAGGACTACTTTGCAACCTTGACACAACGAATGAGGAGCTTCAAAAGTGTTACATAGGGATATTAGCTCACCATCCGAATAGTGCATGGAATGGCATGACGTACATTACACGTGCAAAGGGAGTTGCTTCGAGTGGTAATCCTTTTTTGGGACATATTTGGGCGGGTAATCTTTCTAGTAGAAAAGCTATGGTCCATGAAGCTACCGTTTATTATCGTGTAGACTTGTATTGCACGGATGAATGCCAGCGAAGTGGACAACATGAACGCTGGCGACTGAGCATGTATAGTAGTGAAGTGATCTCGCTTAATTTATTTAGGGTGGTTTGGGATCCGGTTATTTCCTTTGAACCACTTCCTGTGACTCGGTCGGCAGTTTCGGTGCATTCTTCCGAACAAGTTTCTCTAATGGGATCTAGCGCAAGTCATCCTCGTTCTCGAATTGTGGGGTTAGAGCAACCGCAACAGCCTCCTGTAGGTGCAACGCTAGCGAGCATTGTGGCTACTCTGGAAAGACTCGAAGAAAAGTTGTGTACAAGGCTGGATGCATTGGAAGCGAAATTGTCCTTTCTGGAGTTAAAGTTGTCTGCTGGTAACGATGCGACGTCAAATAATAATAACAGTTGATTTTTGTTGGCGAAGAAATGGCTATCAAACAGTTTGGGCCTTGTTTCTGTTGTTGTTGTTTTATTTATACCTATATTTTGTTATGTTGTACGATACGATCCACCCTACTGCCGCTTGCCCTCTTTTAGGCAATGTTAAATTGGTAGGTACATGTATGCATAGGGGCACCGTGGACCTCTGTTGTGTGTTTTGTACTTTTTGTTGTTCTTTTAAATTGTTTCTTCTCTTTTTTTTTTTCTGTTTGTTTTCTCAGTAGATTAGTGCTGGATGTGCATGTGTCGAGATGGCGGAGGAGGCCTCTTCTAAAAAAGTTATTGTCCACCACAAGATGGTTGGAATGCCTGTTTTTGATGGTCAATTTAGTTGTGATGTAGACTTGGAGCTTTACGCGGTATCACAGAAAATTATTGAGAGTCATGGCGGCACAACAACGTGCGGGTTTCGCATGTGGTTGACTCGCGTGGAGCCCGGTCTTATTGTGCGCGATTTTAAGCAAAACTTATTTGAGGCCTTTTCATTGAAACACGAAAGCGTTTCATCCATGTCGCGGGCCGATGGGGAAATGGCGTATCATGTTGTGGTTTATTACGATTACGATGCCCCGCAGACGACGTGTCCCGTGTTGAAGTTGCACTTGGGGGACTATAATCCCAAGAAACACGGCAAAAACTAAATGCATGTGAATGTCCTTGGCTTTTGTTGCAAAAAAAAAAAAAAAAAAAAAACGGTACAGGGAAATGACCAATGGATATATTTATATATGGTTTTTCTTGTGATTTGGGTGATTTTTACACGTTTATTTATGTACGTATGTATTTACGCCACTGCATATATACATATATACATATGTCTGTGTCAGTTTTAGGCTGTGCATTTATTTAATGGGTTGTTTTGCTTTATTTTATTTAATTTTGTATTTTCTTTTTTCTCTTTGCTCAAGCCTGCGGGTGTCCACCTTCAATGGGGGGTGACGGCCAGGCACTTTCGAATAAGCGTAAGCATTTGGAAGAATCCAGGGCCTTTGTTACCGCCGAGCAACTGAGAAAAGGAGCGGGCAAGGAGGTGGATGTGACGCGAAAGGAAAAGGAACAAATTGCTCAGCGATGGGCACATTGCGCATTGTCGTTAGAGCCATTGGAAACACCCGTTGTCTTTGATCTCTGTGGCCGGTTGTATTCAAAAAGAGCCATCGTGAATGAGCTTTTAGAACGAAGACATCGACCCAAATGTAATAAAGAAGGCTTTGACGGTGGGAATTGCGCCATTGCAAAGCTTTCGGATGTCTGTGAGGTGAAAAATGTGGAGGAAGGGGAGCGGGTGTGTATCCGATGCCCTTTAAGTGGCTTTGAGGCGTCGTCTGGGCTCCACAAGTTTGTTGGGTTTTGGGGTTGTGGACATGTTGTTTGTACCTCCTCATGCTCCGATTCAGTCATGAAAAAGGGCGAGGCGAGAGATGCCGCCCCCGGGGCTGAACCGGCGACCACATCGTGCCTGCTCTGCGGTGAGGATAGCTTCCAGGTTCCACTGATACTGGAGAGCGAAGATGATGAAGTTGCTCAGTTGCAACGACTACGCCCACTTCAGCGGCTTGCTTGTAAGCGTAAACGATTGAAAAATTAACTCATTACTTCCCCGTACATATATACGCACGCAGAATGATGGGACGGTTGCTTTCCTTTGTATTGTTTGATACGAGTGGTGGCGTTTAGATTCGGAACCCTTATTTTTCCCTGTCTCTCTGTTTTTTTTTTTTTCCTATTTTCCTTTATTTTTATCCATTATCACCATTATTATTATTATTTTTATTTTTTAAATTTAGTGCAAATACCTTTTTGAATTTAGGGGCACGAGAGGGTATAAAAGCCATGTCGCGTACATGGTGCCCTGCATTGACCGCGGATTCATCTTTGCAGTTTGATACAAAACACCTACGAAGGAAATCTGGTCAGGATGGCTGCCACGCATTATTATCTTCCATGGGACGCACAAAGGAGACTGCTGCTGTTGCGGCTGAATGTGACGCTTCCGTGAAGGAATTGTCAACTGACTTAACAGAACGTGTGAACTCCTCTATTTCCAAGTTCAGCGCATACGTCGTTGCCTCGAGGACCAATATGGCTCAGTGGCCGAGCTTTGCGGATCCTTCCGTAGTCGCCTTTTGTGAGGCAGCGATTCCGCTTATTGCTCAAACAGAGGATGAGGCTGAGGCTATAGAATCAAACGAAATGCCTGTGACTGCGTACCATCTTTCACACATTTTGAAAATGCAATTGGAATTAGAGAGACTTCCTGACGTAAAGCTGCCATCTGATCAGGTGGTGGATTTCATTGCCCATGTTATGCGCTTGGAGGCCCAACGGAAAAACAGCAGTATATCGGAGAGCATGCGACGGGTGACACTGATGCCTTCACCCTCGGCTAAAGTTTTTCTCGCTGGTGTGATCGAAGCGTTGAATATTAACCGTCGTATGATGCAACAGCTACGCTTTCTTGCTCTTGCGGGGGAGTTTGAAGAGAGCACGGAGGAAACGGTGCTTCAGGAGTTCCTGCAAGCAACCCAGCGTCTTGTTACATTAGAGGTCCCATACACGGCACTCAGTCATGTGTCAGGGATTTTAATACCATTGCTCAAGGATTCCATGATAAGGGTGGTGAATATGGAAGGTAATGACCTGGGGCTCTCGTCCAATGAGGCGGATGTCATTCCTCTTCTTGCAGAATACATAAAGGAAAACAAGTTTCTTCTTAAACTAAATCTCAGCTACAACAACATCTCTGGGACGAGCGCTGTTTTGTTGTTGGAGGCCCTTGCCACCTCCGATACAAGGTTCACACCGCAGTATCTTCCAGAAAGTGAGAACGATGGAAAGGATGAGGAAGCGGAGGACGGTGTTTTGAACGACATTGGTTTTTTTCTTCCCCACCTGCACGAGGAAGAGGAAGAGGAAGAGGAAGAAGAAGAAGAAGAAGAAGAAGAAGCGGTGAATTTGGCTCAAGCAAAGAACCTGGGGAAGAGCAAGAAGAAGCGATCGGCCGAAGAAGAAGAGGAGGAGGAAGAAGGGGAAGAGGAAGAAGAGGAAGAAGAAGAAGACGAGGAACTGCAGCAGAGCCAAGATAGCGATGACGACGAGGAGGGGGAAGAGGGAGAGGAGGATGAAGAAGAGAAGTATAAACTCCCCCCTCATCTTGTAAAGAAGTTCGCACGGATTTTTCGAAGGCTGTTGCGCGATGAAAGGGAGGCGCGTGTCGATTTTGTGGGTGAATACATGAATGAGGCTGGTGAACTGGTGAAGGAGCTTGACGCCATTCAGGCGGAAATCGCAGAAGAAAAGCGCATCAGGATTGAGAAATACTGCCAGCGACGTAGCGGATGGTCACATCTGCAAGTACTTCGGCTGCGGGGCAATCCGATTGGGAATAAAGGGGCGACGGGCGTAGCTGCGGTGCTCCGGCATGAGGTGCAACTGGAAGACGAGGAGATTGAGCGTATTCAGACCGAGCTTTCTGACGGGGCGGACAAACTACTTAGCGAGCTGTTGTCAAACCGGAGAAATTGTGTTGTAGAGGAAGTGAGTAAGCGACGACAGCTAATAAATGAACACCGCTCCGCCTGGTCCCTAATGAAGGCAGCACGGGCTGAGAAGGCACGCACAGAAAAGCGTTCGAGTGTCGTCTTTCCAGCTGTAAAGACTTCTTCACGCTCCGTAACAGGCGTGACCGTGGTCGGCGATGATGAGGATGTTGATGATGAAGAGGCTTTGGAAAATTCCATGGACGAGGATGGTGAGGATTCTCGAAAGACCGCGATGGTGCGTTCAACAACGGACGTTGGTTTCGTCGACGATGTCGAAGAATTTGCAGAGGAGGAGGAGGTGACAGAGTTGGAAGAGGCGCGTGGTAATTGGGAGACGCCGTTCCCTCGTACGAAGCGCGGTCTTCAGTCTCTTCGTTTACTTGATCTTTGCAGCTGCCAAATTGGAAGTGCGGGACTCAAGCGTATCGGTGATGCTCTTCGGGAAAATGAGTCCTTAGAGGTTTTATTGCTGCGACATAATCACTTTGCTAGGAAGCGTGTTGCGCTTCTTGCCACCGAGGAGGATGCGGAAGAAGAGGCGGGGTCAACGACACGTGTGGATGTTCCGCACTATGTTTCTCCCGGGTGCCTCTCACTCTTTGGAACGCTCACAACAAATTCGACGCTTAAGACACTCGATCTCGCATACAACAACATGTACCCGGAAAGCATCCGTGCACTAGCAAGGGCCTTGAGTTCCAACACGACACTCAGTTCCCTGTCATTGGAGGGAAATTGTATGGGCTTCAATGAATCCCCGTATCAAATGGACCCCGCTGTAATCAAAGCGACGGGATATCCGGTGGATGCCGCCATTTTTTCCAGATCTTCATGTTTTCTGGAGTTGCTGAAGGCACTTTTAGGGAGTGGTGTCACAACTCTGCTTCTAGGTTACAATGATCTGGCTCAGTGCTGGTTTGCTGAGGAGATTGAGTGGTTGACGAGACTCTGCTGCCGACTGCATGTCCTATACTTAAATGGAAATGGCTTACTGTCAGAGCACCTCACACAATGGGCCAATGCTATACAAACAGATATGAAATTCACACTAAGGGAGTTGAAACTTTCAAGAAATGATCTACAGGGCGAGAGTGGAGGGGCAGCTTTGGGTCGCATTCTTAGTCGATGCCAAGAAAACTTGGAGAATCTTGTCCTTGATGAAACGCAACTTGGTTCCTCGGGTACGGTTTCTGCATTTGCGTCATTTGAATCATCTGCACTACGCTCACTGAGTCTTCAGAGGGTTGGAATAACGTCAGCGCATGTCCTTCCTTGTGCCGTACTGACTCCGCTTCGTCGTCTCATTATTTCGGACAACCCATTTAGTTTGAGCGAGTTGCTTGACTTTATGGATGTATTACGTGGCTCCGCATCCGAATTGATGTGTTTGTCGATATGGAGTCGCGAGGTAATGATGGAAAAACATCTTCCCGAACTGCAATTAAAGGTTTGCCTGATGCCAAGACTCTTGTTTGCCGATTTTGGCATCATGAAGCGTTTTGACGACGTAGTGGATGCCGATGACCCGCTTGGTCAAATAGAGGCTATTTTTGTCCACCGACATCTGTCACGAATGGCTGATGGTGTCTCGACTTGTAACACGCCATGAGATTAGAACGTTTGCTCTTTTTTTTTTTTTTTTTTTTTTTTTGGAGGAGAAGGGAGGTTTATGTATGTTTTTTTCTTGATGTACAGTCAACGGGTTTCCTTTTCGGCTCGCTTTTCCTTGTGATCTCATTGGCAATACTATGTACATATGCCGGTGTTGTCAGCAGCTACGAGGATGGTTGGTGTGCCTGGGAAATAGTGGAACCCGGAGACACGTTCCCAAGATTGGTACCAGCTGTTAGTTTCTTTTTTGTATTTCTCTGTGTTTGGGGAATGAAATATGTGTTGCCAAGCTTGGAGCAATGTTTTGAACGCATTAACTTTTCCTATTACATGCATGCATGTTTGAGTAGCCATTGCGAATAGAAGAAGTAATTACCATCCAATATATTTATACATATTGAGAAGATATATCGTCGGTGAGGCGTACATAAAACACATTTACGGTGAGTCATGAATTGCAATTACAACTGTGTGACACTCCATAACTCCGCGCGAATGCCGCAGCTTGGCTTGGGTGTTTGGCGGGCACAGGACGGAGCCGAGACGGCGAATGCGGTCCGGTGGGCAATTGAGGCAGGCTACCGCCACATCGACACGGCATGCATCTACAACAACGAAAAGGGCGTGGGGCAGGGGATCCGCGAATCGGGAGTGCCCCGTGAGGAGGTGTGGGTAACAACAAAAGTATGGAATTCAGATCAAGGATACGAAAAGACGCTTGCGGCCTTTGAACGCAGCCGTGAGCTGCTCGGATTGGAGTACATTGATCTCTACTTAATTCACTGGCCGGGGAAGAAGAAGTTTGTTGACACATGGAAAGCATTGGAGAAGCTCTACGAGGAGAAGAAGGTGCGGGCCATTGGCGTTTCCAACTTTGAGCCACACCACCTCACGGAGCTTTTTAAAAGCTGCAAAATTCGGCCGATGGTCAACCAAGTGGAGCTGCACCCGCTGTTCCAACAGCGTACTTTGCGGGAGTTCTGCAAGCAACACAACATTGCCATCACAGCCTGGTCTCCGCTTGGCAGCGGGGACCGGACGGGTTTTCTGAAGAATCACGTGCTGGGGGAGATTGCCAAGAAGCACAATAAATCCCCGGCGCAGGTTGTCATCCGCTGGGACATTCAGCACGGTATCGTGACAATTCCCAAGTCCACAAATAAGGGGCGCATTCAAGAAAACTTTAATGTTTGGGACTTTAAACTTACGGAAGAGGAGATGCGTCAAATCGATGAACTCAACGAGGATAAACGCATCGGCGGACACCCTGATAATTTTTTCCCTGGTGGAGAGGAGTGAACGCGGCTCTGTGATCTTTTTTGATTTTTTATTGTGATTATGATTATTAAGAATAGCATTATTTTGTTGTTGTTTGGGAATGGTATTGGGGGAGCCTGCGTGAAAGGGAAAAATGAAATGAAAGGTGTGAAGAAAAATAAATCTGACGGAGGTATATATATATTTTTTTTTACTTTTTTTTTCGCATGTGCGTATTTGTTCCTTCATGGTCTGCTGGCTTGTATTTGACGTTCTTTTTTTATTTTGTGTGCGTGCGGATTGATTTGATCTGGCGGATATGAGCTGTTTGTGTGGGCCAACTGGAGCCCCTACGGTTCTGTGATGCGTCAATTTGTGTGTGTGCATGCTTTTTTTTTCTCTTTTTTCTTGAAGCGGCAGAGATGCGTCGTCGTCATGTCTGCTACTTTGGCCCTATGACCGCGGTCGCGCTATTATTGCTAATTGACTCCACAGTTGGCATCCAGTTGATGCATGAACCAACACCTGACAATAAAACGACGAATTACCCTCGTGTAGTTCCTGTTTACAATATGGACTCGCCGCCTGCCACTTCCTCTTATGCATCGGCAAGCACGCACTTTTTGTATGCCGAATCCAGAAGAGAATTGGCTGGAAAAGGCCGTGCGGTGCCCGATTTGCTCCTGACGGGTGTGCAGTATCGTGGTGTGGCACGGTTGAGGGAGACACTTCCCACTTGGATGGAAAACTGATTTTTGGCACAGGGCAATGTGGATATGGTGATTTTCTGTGCCAATCTAACAGTGAGTGCTGTGCAGTTGGTAGAGAAATTCGAGTTTGCAAGGGTTCATGAGGGGCACTTGACTCCACTGGAGATGAAATTTCGTGATGTGCGGGCAGACGTCGTTGAGGACGCGATGCTGAGGGGCGAAGAGTGGACTTCTCTGAAGGATGTATATCACTATTTGCCAAGAGTACAGCCGAAGTTTGTGTTTTTTTTTTTTGCCTATGAACTTAACTTTTCCGCGTTGCATTGAAGAAAGCCGTTCGCTGCTGGAAGATTGCACGTGGTTTCTTTGTGGCTGTTCGCCGTACTTTCCGGCGCGCCGTGCGTCACCGGATGACGTTCAGGGCACACGGTGGTGCTCGCATGCTCTCTTTGATCAGCCGATTGTGTGGCGCTACAGTTTCTGGGTAAAGTTAGACGGTGACGCGGCGTTCTTTCGGTCTCTACGAGACAATCTTTTGCAACGGCTCCTGTCGAGCGGCCCGGTTTCGGGACACACCGGCTAAACCTGCAATGGCCATGGCTGCAGTGACGAGCTGCCGGAAGCGATCGAGCGGCTCCTGACAGATCACAGAGCACATGCAGTGGATGCTGACCAAGACTGGTGGCTATCGGACGACCGAACACACAACATCAGCTTCGTTGCGGGTTCTGTGAACTCCTTTCTTCAGCCACAGGCACGGAAGTTGACGGCGTACCTTAATGGGTATCGTGACGTGTTCCTCAAGCACCGTTGGACGGAGCAAACTCTTCTTCATAAGGTGATGTGTGTGTTTTGTGGACCCCACGAATCGAGTTTCTTGCTCAATTGGGAGAGACTGCGGTGCACCAAGAAGTGAACAACACCGTTTGCCGTGTTTTGCCACAGCAAAGGAAAGAAGAGGGTCCGCCCAGGGAGGCCCTGTCGATAATCGACTGAAACAACTTCCGGAATGCCAACCACTCACAAGTAGGTGGACAACAGAAACTGAGTCACATCTGCCCACCCCCGAATAAAGGAACAAAGAAAGGACGCAAACAACTCACTGAAAGGGGAAAGAATGTAAAGTTCTCTTTTTTCTTCCTTATAGGCTCTTATTCATGACGATCTTTTTCTCTTAATTTTTCTTATTTTTCTCAGCTTCTAGTGCAAAATAACAATGGCTGACGCCCAACGCGCACCCTCTGGTGAACAGCGCGGCTTTGGCCGTGGTCGTGGAGGTCGCGGCGGTCGTGGAGGCCGTGGAGGCCGCGGAGGCAGCAACGAGAAGGAGGAGTGGGTCCCTTGCACGAAGCTCGGACGTCTTGTGAAGGAGCAGAAGATCACTTCTCTGGAGGAGATCTTCCTCTTCTCGATGCCCATCAAGGAGCACCAGATTGTGGACCAGCTCATCAAGGAGAGTGACATGCGTGACGAGCTGATGCTGATTGTTCCTGTGCAGAAGGCGACGTCGGCCGGCCAGCGCACGCGCTTCAAGGCATTCAACATTGTTGGCGACGGCAACGGCCACATCGGCGTGGGCGCCCGCGTCGGCAAAGAGGTGTCCCTTGCCATCCGCGCCTCCATGATTGCTGCCAAGCTGAACGTTGTTCCCATCCGCCGCGGCTACTGGGGTAACAAGATTGGCGAGCCACACACGATCCCGATGAAGGTGACTGGCAAGTGCGGCTCCGTGTCCGTCCGTCTGATCCCCGCGCCGCGTGGTGCTGGCATCGTCGCGGCACCCGTCCCGAAGAAGATTCTTGAGTTTGCTGGCGTTGAGGACGTGTACACGAGCTCCTGCGGCAACACCCGCACGCGTGGCAACTTCATCATGGCGACCTTCTATGCACTGCGCAAGACTTACGGCTTCCTGACGCCAGACCTTTGGGCAGAGACGGAGGTCTCGCGTGACCCCACGGATGAGCACTCCGACTTCCTTACAATGGGAAGCAAGATGATCGCCGCATGAGAATGAGACAGCTGTAGCACTAGCTGCAAACGTTTTTTAATTTTTTGATTTTTATTTTTGTTTTTAGTAGTTTGCATAAGAACTAGGACATATAGGTTTTTTTTTCTTTGCACGGGTTCGTTTTCCTATGGGATTTTTTTGTCGTACTTGACATAAACAGTACGCCCTGTTCTCTTTTCTTTTTTGTTCTATATTGTTTCTAAGCAATAGTAAACACTTTTGGTGCTGGCAGCCGGCATGCGCCGTGTGGTCTCTTTTTATTTTAGCCGCAAGTCAATTCGTTGGATTGGCTGCGTTCGTAATGTGAATGTTGATGCTGGAGATGGTTCTCGTGAAACGGGCGATGGATCAATATCAGATGTCGTTGTGGACAGTTATACGCTTCTTCCTGCGGTGAGTCGGGCGTTGCCTCTTTTCAACCCGTGTCAGGAGTTTCCGGCGACAGCTGTTGGTATGGAGCTACCCGACCCCCGTGATCCGTGTGTAGTATGGCGAGAATATTACTCGTTCGAGCACAGGAGGCCCTATTATCATAACCTACTGACAAATCTTACAACCTTTGAGGTGCCATCTGGCTTCAGGACATGCTTTTCATTGTTTCATCGTCGCCAAGGCCTTTATGTTGATACAGAAAATCGTGTTCATCGTCAGGCTACGGTACAGGGCGGTGGGACACCGGACAAGGGTGCCCCCGGCGCATCTGATGGAGAAGGCGGATCCCCGGCCTCACCTGGTGGGGGCGGTACCCTCACGACGAAGCAAAAGTTAGCGGCATATGGCGGTGGTGGTTTGTTGTTGTATCTCATTGTGCACAACATTCTTCTTGCCGCGATATTTTTTTCCCTGTATTTTCTTCACGTTGACTTAGTAGGCATTGCACGTTCCTATGGCTTTAGTGTTGGCGACGATCCAATTGGATCCGGCAACGGTGCTGATGCCGCTGTGACGAAGAAGAAGGATCCGTCCTTTTGGGCCACGCTGGGCGTCTCGATCCTGCTAAATAAACTTTTGGTGCCACTGGAACTTGCTGCAACTCTCATGATGGCACCTGTACTCGTTCCACGTCTGCAGCCTTTTGCGACGAGGTTGATTCCTCGTGTGAAGACCTTTATGAAGGGCTGAAGGATCGAGCTTTTTAATAAGTAGAAACAACAGCAACAACAAACAATCCAACAATCGCAACACGGAAATGATGATAATAATAATAAAAAAAAAAAAGCAAAAAAAAAAAAAAACGGAGTATTAAACGACGAGGTTTTGGCGGGGAGGGATGTGTAATTTTTGAGGGCTTCCCCCTATCCTTAACACACGCTATTGCTGTACCAATGTCAGTTGATGAACAGTGGGTTTGGATTGATCTCGGTTTTGCCCATTTTTGTGCGTGTGTCCTTGTGTTTAATTGTGTGTATATTTCTCTGTGAATTGGAATAATTCAAATGCATTTTCTCTTGTAATGTTTTTCTGGGTAAAGGGCTAATTGCGGCGATTTCTTTTTCTTTCCTGGGTTTCTTTTTGACTGCTAAATATTTTTTGCACATTTTTCTTTTTAGAATTCCTCGAGCGATGGTGCACTACTCAAGGAAGCCTCAGGTAAGCTCGAAGAGCGCCAAGGCGAAGGTCAGTGATCTCCGCTGCCACTTCAAGAACACGTTTGAAACAGCGAATGTGATCAACGGCATGCCCCTTCGCAAGGCACAGCAGCTGTACCGTCAGGTTCTTGCCAAGACACGCTGCATTCCTTTCAAGCGCTACAATGGCAAGATTGGCCGTACCGCTCAGGCGAAGGAGTGGGGACAGACAAAGGGACGTTGGCCACGCAAGTCTGTTGTTGCAATGCTCTCACTGCTGAAGAATGCCGAGGCAAACGCCATCGAGAAGGGTCTTGACCCCAACAAGATGGTCATCAAGCACGTGCAGGTGGATCAGGCCGCCCGCATGCGCCGCCGCACTTACCGCGCTCACGGCCGTATTACGCCATACATGTGCAGTCCGTGCCATGTGCAGCTCTTCATGACTCAGCCCCAGGAGCGTGTCCCTGTGCCGAAAAGCAAACCGAAGAAGTAGAATTTCCCTCCGATGGATTCATTGAGTCATTTTTTGTTTGTTTTTGGCGTTTCTTCTAATTTGACGTGCCCTTTTATGATGCACGCTTCTAGCGTTATATTTATCAAGTTCCCCGTTTACTTCCGTTTCGGAGGAGTATTACTGTGGCGGTTTTAAAGTTTCTTGTTTTTTTTTTTTTTTAAATCGTCTACATGTGACAAAGAGGGCCAGTAAAAGTCTGATCCTCGTCTCCAGTTTGCTCCAGAGGGAGTGAAAAAAAAGAGTTAAGAAGGGAGCAAAAAAGGAAGAGGAAGCTTGTGGGAGGGTTTTTGACGAATCGTAATGGAAGATCCTTTCTCTTTCCAGAGACTGCGTGTTGCGGTGCGTGAGCGGGCCATTATGGAAGAAGACGGTCCAAACGTTCGGCTGTGCCTCCGGACGGATGAGGGCAAAGTCATTGCCCATGCACCAGGAGTCACTGAGGGACTAATGTACGATTGCGACTACTACTTTTCCTGCGCTGCGACCCAGGAAGATATTTATTCCAGCATTGGGTCACAGATGGTCGATCTTGCAATTCAGGGTTTGAGCTGCAACGCTGTTGTCTTTGGGTTTGCGGATACGGGAAAAACCCACACACTTTACGGAGATGGGGACGGTGATGGGCTTCTCCTCAGCACAGTAAGAGATTTTTACAGCCGCCTTGAGGCTCAGTCCGACGAGTACGAGGCGAAGGTTTTAATGCGCTACTGGGAAATGAGCCGTGATGCTGTGGAGGACAACTTACGTGAGAACGATGAGGGTAAAGAAGCCATTTCGTATGCCGTCTCCCGCGACCATTTAGACCGTCTGACGATACCGAACCTGACTGCAGTGGAGGTACCGACTGTGGAGGAATTTTTGATGCAGTTAGGCCGTGGGAACCGCACTAGGATGAGTCGATGCGAAGAAAGGATGTTTCGATGGCATGGCTTTGTGCAGCTTATTATCGTGACGACCGACAAACCAGAGGGGACGAAGAATTATATTCGCACCATGACTTTTGTACACATGAAAGGGACGGATCGGGTCGGAGAGAAAGGCATTCGTGGTGAACAACTCAGGGAGGGAAGCTGCATTAATGTCGGCGTTACACTTCTTCGTGCGGCGGCCATTCATTCGCTGGAGTACCGTGAGAAGCGCCGGGCTTTCTCTACCACACCTGAAAAGCATCGTGAACTCATTCGTCGTAGCCAATCATTCTTTATGGAGTGTAATTTTTCCCGCATGATGTCTCAGTTCATCTGTGGATTTGAAGCATGTTTTGTGATTGGTTGCACGAGTCCCTTGCAGTACAATGAATCGATTGAAACGCTTGAAAGCCTGCAACTCTTTCGTCAGTTGCGGTGCGTTTTGAAACCCATCGTCGTCATATCTGATCGAGGTATGTTAATTCGGCAGCTGCTTCGACAGGAGGCTCTTCTCGGGGAGGAAGTTGTCTCGGAGCTTTATGATTCAGATACTGCCGGACGTCCATTGACGGAAGCAGAGGAGAAATTGCTGCTCACCTACAAAAAAATTTATGGCACCGTCCCAAGAAGGGGTTTAGACACAACGTTAGGATTTGATCGAGAGGCAGAATTGATTGAACGTTGCAAGACTAGGGCTCAGCAGCAAATCGGAAAGGTTGAAACACATGGCATGCGCACCCGCATTTTCCTCAATCCTGGCAAGACCGCGTCATACGAAGGACAGTGGGAAGATGGTAAGTTTGGCGGTTTCGGGGAGCTGTTGCGGAGGCGCAGCAGATACCGTGGTGAGTTTCGGAATGGCTTGCGCGAAGGTGAAGGAACGCTATGGATTCGTGCAGATGAAAAATCGCCATGGATACGTGTGTACAGGGGTGAATGGTTGGCTGGAAAGCGTGATGGCTTTGGTACCTCTTGGGACGAGAATGGCGACGTTTACGAGGGGGAGTGGGCAGATGATAAACGTAACGGTTTTGGCCGACTTTTTATGGCTAACGGAGACCACTTGAAGGGAGAGTTCCGTAAAGGTCTCTGTGATGGACGTGCGCTGCTGCTTCTGACAAATGGCGACTGGTACGATGGATACTGGGCCATGGGGCTGCGTGAGGGACCTGGTATGTGGTGTTATGTAAACCGACAACAGTGTCTTTGTGGTGAATGGACCAAAGGTATATTTAAATGTGGCACAATGTATGACCTTCCCCATAAGAAAACTAACGAAAATAGCCGTTTTATTCCGCGGCTAGGACTTTTGCGTCATGTTGAGGTACTGGAACTAGAGCAACGAAAATTGTATGATCGTCGTGTGCAGGAGTTTGGTGCGTTAGGATACAAATGGACAGAGCCTGTTATTTTCCCACCTCTTGGTGCTGCAGTTTCGTTTGACGATGACGGCGAAAAATGTCACGTGGAAGTAACCGATGTTGAGACGGCTGATATAAGCTGGGGCTTAAATGTTGAATAGTGTGTGGCTCTCAGAGTGTCCTTCTGGTTGTTTATGTATATTATCAGGAGTTTCTCCTTTACCTGAATTTTATTTCTCCCTTATTTTCTTCTTTTAATTTTTATTACTTGTCTGTGCCGTTGTTGTTGTTTCTTGCGCTACTTTTTTGGTGCATTTTGTGTTTTTTTTTTTTTTTCCATTATGCTGTCTGACGGTATAGGCTGCAGTGAGGAGCACGTTGAAATCTACCAACAAACTGTGCGCGAGAAAAGCAAATGGGGGGGAAGGGAAATTCTGCTTGCGCAGAGACGGTGCGAAGGGAACCGACTCCCACACTGTCGAATTTGACTGGCTCCGGTCCAATAACTCGCCGCCTCATTGAGAACTACTGGCGCTCTGTCATGGATTCCGGGTGGAAGCCGATAGTAGAGACGCCGTCCCGTGCGTTATTGGAGCGCTGTGGGAGTCTGAAGACTGCATCCTTGGCCATGCGATCTGAAGGCTCACAGAAAATGTTGCTGACAGCCCTCTCTTCCTCATCGGATCCCGTGCAATGGTGTATTGATAACGCCGAGACGGCAGAGTTGACAGGGCAGTTTGCGGTTGCGGAAAATTACCTGCAGGCTGCCATTGAGCAGCTTTACCGTTCTGACTCTATTGCGCTTGGGGCAATAAACACCGTCGCTTTCCACGATGATGCAAAGCTGGAACGGGATTGCGCGAGGACGGCTGACATCTTGCGCCGTTTTGGAAAGCTTTCCTTGCGGAAGAGCGCGCATGGTGAGGCACTGGCTTTTTTAAATCTCAGTAGCCGCATCGACCCACTTACGCCTGTCACGTATGCATTGCGAGGTGCTTGTCACGAACACCTGGGGAATAACGCTGAGGCGTATGAGGAATATAAGAAGTATCTTTCTTTAAGCCCACCCACTCTGGCAGTGGTGGCTCACACGGGTCAGTGTGCAATAAAGGCGGGAAAATATGAAGCGGCGGAGCGTCACCTATTCGAGCTGTTACAAATGACAAAAGTAACAGCGAGTCCTTCTGCGGTACCCTCTGGCACCGGTTTTGCTCTGTTTGAGTCATCCGATTTTTACGAGGCACACGCGTACTACTGCCTTGGTCTTGTGAAGGAAAAACAAGCCGAGCAGGCAGCAGCTACCTTGTCAGAGGACTCAGTAAGTAATTCTGCAGAAACATTGGCGCAGGAGGCAAGGGCATTCTACGAGTTGGCGGTGGCGAACTCGGCTTACGTGGCAGCCCTTGAGGATTCTTCTGAGAGCGCCATTCTCGCGCGGGACGCACCACTGGCTTTAGAAAATTTAAGACATTTACAACGTTTGCGAAGGAGTTGCGCACATTATTACTCCCGCGCCGCAGATGTATGTGCCATGATTAACGACACTGCCTCCGAGATGGAGGAGCTTTCTAAAGCACTGGACCAGCGTCAACCGGTGAAAATCCGTCGAAAGACGCTTCTTCGTCGTGCTGCTGTTTACGCGTCAAAGCTGCATAACGTTGACAAGGCAATTGTAGACCTCTCATTGTTGTTGAGCCTGCCCGGAAATGACTCCTGCACAGCTATGGCGTACTTGCAGCGCGCCAAGGCGTTTGAACAACGCAGTTGTGAACGCCCACGGACTTCGAGGGAGGACGTTGGGGCCGCTCTACGTGACTACAACAGTTTTGTGGAGACGGCGTTGATGCATCCACACGAACTAGACGTCCCACCCGAGTGTATTACGGTGGCCATGCTAATCCTCGCGAACGGGGCGTTTAAGGAAAAAAACTACGGCCGGGCCGCACGTTTTTTCGCACGTGCCGTCGCGAGAGGTTGGCGACCCCTTGAAGATTTACCGCGGGAACGCCGAGAAAAGAAGAAAAATGTGTCGTCGATATCGCTTACGGGGGTGGATCTTCTCACAAAGATGTATTTGGCGATTGCCCGCACTGTGGTGTCGAAGATTCCTATTGCAGAGGACATGTTTAGGGTGCCGTACGAGCAGCGAGAAAAGCCCCCTGCGCAGGTGGTCACCGAGTTGAAGAAGTCAAAGGCTGCAGAGCGAAAGGAGGCGGAGAAGCCGGTAGTGGCGGTTCATGCAGTCGGATACCAGGTGGTGGAGGAACACTATCAGCGGCTGCGTGCACTTGAACCAACCTTCTTCTCGGCCTTGCAGTACGAACTCCTGGAACTGTGGGAGCCGTACAGAACGGAGGTGGAGCGGCTGCGGGAGGACCTGATGCTCACAAGAAACGGGAAGAAAGTCAAGCGACGCTGAAATCACCCAAGGAGCGATGTAAGCGAGAAGCGAGAAGGTCCGCGGTGCGACTCCCTTTTCCCCCAAAGCGACGAGGAAGAAGAAGAAAAAATGTGACTTTATTCATTTAGTTCTCCATATGTACAGCGCCAAAAACTTTACCCACACACGGGAGGAACAGCAAAAAAAAAAATAAAAATAAAAAAAGAGGCTACAACGACAAAAAGAACGGCGCATCCATGCAAAAACGCCTACAGGAGGGTGGGGATTTTTGCCCCTTAGTTAACTTGTCTTGTTTGTCATTTTGGCTGTTGTTTTGCTCCAACTGTTTTCTAACCTTTAACAAAATCATAATGATAGCAAAGACGTCTTGTAAAACAGGGCAAAAATAAACCCACAAGAAGAGGGTGTGCTTGTGTGTGTGTTGTGGTTGTTTTGTTTTTGTGGGAAGAAGGATGTCATCCCAGTTTATCGATTCGCAGGTGGAAGACGAGGAGGGTGTTCGCAGGCGCCTTATTAGCTTTTATGAAAGACACAACCCACGGCAGCTCGAGTACATTGAGAACATAATTTTTGCATACAAGGGACACTGGGATGAGCTTTTTGTTGACTTGGCGGCAAAGTACGAGCATGAGTTTTGGCCAACTGACACGGCGAATGAGTCCTGCTCTTGTCCCTCCAACCGTGGCCGTTCTGCAGGCATTGATTCCTCTCCTGGCAGCTTATCTTGTCAACCATCGGATAGGTCTGTCGGTTTTTCCTCCTTTAAACTTCTTGACCCCATGGAGGTCGTTCAAAGACGACGAAGCGACGGGAGAAGGGATGACATTCAAAATGGTTCATTAGCCATGATAAATGAAAACCCCAGCAACAACAAAAAGAAAAACAACAACGACAGCCTAAAAGAACGAAAATTGACGCTGTTGAGGCAATCTTTGTCTGGTGATGCACAGGAGGACATCACTCGACGACTGAGGCTACAGCAGTTGTTTACGCGCTTTGCGCCGAGAGAGGTATTGCGCATGGAGGAGTTTATGGCGCAGTACCGAGAAGCATACATGATGGATATAATTTCTGCCAGCGGCCATCATGATGTTGTTACCGAGAAAGAGTGGCAGGAAGCGATGATTCATGACCTTCTCCGCGAATTTGACCCAAATAAAAATGGCAATCGCGTTGGCTACAAGACCAATACGATTCAACGGGAAGTATATTTGAAAAAATCACCATCATCTTTTGATTCACATGTGCTTTTCCCGTTTACTCCTGCCGATCCGTTGGATACGAAACCTTATTTGGGGTCACGGCTGCTGCAAGAATTCTGCGCTACAGAACCGAGTACACTCAAAGTTCAGAGGATGAAAGAGAAAAACAAGAGAATGACGTCTTTACCTTTTATTTCCCAACTTCCCTTGACACCGAACAAGGAAGAGCGAACGTGTTTTCATGTAGAAACATCTGTGGATGAATGGTGCGAACCGCCGAAAGAGCATTTATTTGCGAATACCAACAAAGGCCTTGTGGCATCAGAACCAGTGAAATTTTATTGCGACAATACCACTCCGATTAGAAGTATGAGTGATGCGGAAAAGATGAGGGAGAGTGAGGAGTTAAATGAGAATGGGGATCCTCCGTTGTTATCCATCATTCTGAACCAACATACACATGGGAAAAGGGTGTGCATTTTGTTTTCTCAGACGCTTGAGGAACGAAAGGCGGAGGAATTTCTTTTACGCCCGGCGGTGCGGCGTGCACTTGCTTGCCCGCTTTTGCATTACCGTTTATTTTTGTTATTGTGCATCTCAATGGAAGCTGCCCAAGGCGGGGGTTTAACTCCTCAAGGTGATCCGATCCTGGCATGGTCTGGAGAGGAGACGCGGATACCGTACTGGGAGCCATCCCTTGCCCACCGTGTGCTTTGGCGTGGCTTACCTTCCCAACAAGTTGATCATACGTTTTTCCTACAGAATGAAAAAATTACTGGCACACTGCCATATGATCTCTTGGATACCCTGCACGCGTCACGCTCCCTTGTCCGAACCGTTGGTTTGGAGTCGTTGTGGCGTGATGAGGTGACATTTGCTGATGTTGTGGCGGTTCGTATGCGGTATTTTGCGCGTCGTTATCCCACACTTAGGTGGTTAGTGCTTCGACCGTTTGCTTGCCTGCGTAATAACCAAGAATGTACTCAACACTTTAGTCCGGACGAGCCTCAATGGCAAGGATGGAAAAAATTGAGTTCTCTCTTGTTTGTCGACGCTGTGACGGAGCTAATTCGTGTCTTTGGCGGTTTTAGTGAGCACTGCTGGGTAGAATTCATTGAGGTTTGGAAAAAGGACCG